TGCCCTGGGCAGCACAGCCCACACTGAGCCGTGGTGTGTGATTCTCAGCGTGCTGCTGGGCTTCGTTTGCTCTGTTTCACTGGGCTCTTTGCTTTGCTATTGACACTTTAGGTTGGGTGGTAGCTTTTTGTTTTTTTTTTTTAACTGGTCTCTGGTGGCAATGTCATGCTGGCTTCAGGAAAAAATGTGGAAGCTTTCCTTCTATTTTTGTTTGGAGCAGTTTAAATCCTGTTGGAATAGATGGGAAATGGCACAACTGAACATTAACATTTTCCATTCTTTATCCAAGTAACCTTGAAATGGGTCTTTCTGTCAGAACTTAAAATATAAATCAGACACTACAAAGAAATTTCAATTTTATTTCAGTTGAGATAATGAAGTCTAAGAGCTGGAGTTTGGTGAAAGCCTAAGGTACAGTTGTCCTTAAACCCGTTTGGTGCCAACACACATTTGCCGGTTAGTTCAAAAGTTGTTTGAAGGCCAGACTTTAATCTGACTTAGGCAACACTCTTGATGCTTACAAGCTGCCATGGCGAATGATACAGAAGACTCCAATTCAGGGAGGGACAAATCCCTGTTTTTAAGGAGCGTAACATCCTATAGAGCAAGGAGTCTCATGGGCCTGACCTTGCCCCGGACAGACCTGTGGTGACCACACAGTGGGTCTTGGAAGAGTTGGCGGGAGCTGGACTTTTGAAAGGGTAGAATCAAGGCCAAGAGGGGTCATCCAGCCTGGGAGGACCCAGGAAGGGAAGGTCAGTAGGGAGGGGCCACCAGTGCTCACTGCGATGGAGGGATGCTGTTGAGCTCAGGAAGGCTGAGCTCCCAAAATGGCCAGTGAGACCCGGGCTCTCGACGGAGGACCCGTCACTTCCAGTGAGACCCGGGCTCTCGACGGAGGACAGGTCACTTTTACAAGGAAACTTTTAAAACAGATTTTGCAAAATTCTGGGGGCCACGAGTGATGATACCTGGGCCCGGGGCCTTCTCCATTCCAGGCAGAGCCATGATGGGCTGACTCCAACCAAGTGGTGACTTCTCTGTGTCCAGATGGGATCTTTCAGGGGCAGTGACTTCCCAGGGAGTTTGTGGGATGTGGGCATTCTGTGTCACTCCACTTATGCTCAGCATCCAGTGACAAGAAGGCCCCAGAGAGCCCGGAGCAGAGCTCGGCCTCCGTGTCTGACCCCAGCTGTGCGGCAGGACCGGTGACTCAATCACCTCAGCCAACAGCAGGCAGCCCAGGGCCTCTCTTCCTGGGAGCGAGGATGCTGGTGTGCTGTGCCCCTTGTGATAAAATGCCGTGGTTCCTGTGGACACAGAGCTCCCTCACCTGTGCTGTCTGAGACCTCATGTGGCCTCCACATGCCATGAATGTGCAGTCCGCATGCCCTGAGGCCCAGCATTCTGGCACTCACGCCAGTCCTGCGCAGAGCAGGCCCACGCTGCTATTCTTAGTCCCAGGATTCCAAGCTCAGACGAGAGTGAGGAGGGCTCCCTACAGACATTTGCTACCAGACTGTGAGACGCTGGCAGAAATAGAATGTAGACTTTGTGACGCTCAATCCCAGGTCTCGCTAAAGAAAACGCAGGCTCAGTTTGGCATTAGTGTGTGCCTCGGTCTCTCCATCTCACGCTAGTGATGTATCAGCACTTGGCTGATGTCCTTAGCAGGGAGGAGGTGGTTTGCCTCTTTTGGAGACTGCCATGAACTGGCTACTGCAGCTTCCATTATCAGCTCCTCCACTCAAGCTAAAAACTCAGGAACTCCCTCTGGGGGGTGGGATCCGCAGCTCCCACCCCTCCACGATTGCAATGTGCCATAGGTCCCTTCCGGAGCAACTGAGCAGAGCGTCTTCCTGGGACTGTGGTCCATGGACGGCCCTGCTAACCACTAACTGCAGCCCATGTGTCCTCCGCACTCCAGGTCTCCAAAGCGGCATGGGGGAGCAGATGTCCACTGCCGTGGGGCGGCTTCTGGGCAGCTGCTGCCCCGGACTGGGAGGCTGAGAATCCTCAGCCTTAGATTCCAGCCTGCAGTTTGGGAAAGGCACTGGAGCCAGGTGAACAAGAACAAGCCTCCACCCAGCTCTCAGACTGGTCAGCCATATTCCCAGCTCTACCTGCTCTGAACTGTGGGGAGAAGGGCCAGAATGGAGGTGGGTGAGTGCTGAGGGAAAGGAGGTGGGAGAGAGGTGAGAAAGGAAAATGGAGAAGGGGAGCCTGGCCTCCCAGCTGCAGAAACCCCAGCCCCAGTCTGCCCCCCACAGCCTGCTCCCCCAGCCTCAGACCATCCCTCAGCCTTCTGACCACCTCCCAGCCTGCTGCCCCCCAGCCCCCAGATCATTCCCCAGCCTGCTCCCCCAGCCCCAGAGCACCACCCAGCCTGCTGACCCCCCAGCCCCAGACCACCCCCTAGCCTGTACCCCCCAGCCCCTAGCCCATCCCCCTATCAGCTGACCCCCCAGCTCCAAGCCTATTCCCCCAGCCTGCTGACCTCCCAGCCTCAGCCCACCACCCCCAGCCTGCTCCTCAGCCCCCAGCCCACCCCCGAAGCCTGCTGATGCCCCAGCCCCCAGGCCTCAGCACCCCCCACCCAGCCCCATTCCAGAGCACAGATAAAAGTGAAACCTGAGCGGCAAATGTTTGTGGAGCCGCCGCCAATCAAGGGCTTCGTTGCCAGGGTAACCGGGACACTTCATCAGCTCTGAGAACAGATGGTCAGTGAGTAACAGGCAGCATATGTTCCCGTAAGCCCTGACACGGGCACAGATGGAGGGTGGGCGGGAGGCTCTCCTCCCTTCCCATGGGTGCGGCATTGCCGAGAGGCACAGAGGCCAGGGGAGCCCGCGTGGTGCTGGTGAGCACGGATTACTAACACGCCAGGGCCGCTCCCAGCCTGGCTTAACCAGAGCGCTGCACTGTTAACAACACCGGGCACACAGGGCCGCGCCGTTAGCAACACCGGGCACACAGGGCCGCACGCTGAGGCTGAATCGCAGCCAGGAATCCTCACTAGCAACCTGCCCACCTTCCAGTGTCACTGTCTCAGGCCTCTGGTTTCTGTGGATGTTTGCGGGAGAAATCAAACTGCCCTTTACAGGATCAAAGGAGAATCTGGTGCCTTTCGGCATGGAGGTGGGGGTCCCAGAGGGTGCGGCCTCAAAGCCGATCAAAGTCAATATATACAGGTTCGCGTGCGCTGGCCACTGGCTGGTGTGACACGATTCGTCTCTCAGACCTTGTATTCCCTGCATTTGATTCCGCAAAATGAGGTCCCCAGTCTCTCCACTGTCACCAACATGAGGATAGCTCAGGGAGCAAGGATCTTGGTGATTCCATCGTCGATTGCCAGCATGATTAAAGCAACTGCCTTTCACCAAACATCTACTATGCCCAGGCCCTCGACACACCTCTGGGATCCCATCTCTGCCGGCCAGCAAGGGAGGAGGAGGTGTCTAGCCTGACTCTGAGTTCCACGCCCAGCTGGGCTCCAGGGAGGCGGTCTTGTGGTCACAGGCCACAGGGCAGGCCTGGCTGTGTCTGCACTGGGGCTATGCTGTGGCCCGGAGAAGCCAGGCACCCTTTCTCCCGTGGACAGTCTTGCCAGCTTCAGAGAAGCCCTGGGCTCCTTTCTCCAGTGTCTGCTGGTCCTGGTGCAGCTCTGTCCAGAGTGGGCACAGCTTCCCAGCTCCCATTGTGTCTCTGGTCTCTAATCTCAGGCCTGTCTCTGCTCTACACGAGTCTGCCTGGTTCACCAGGCCCCACAAATTCACTGCTCACCGGTGCCCAATACAAGCACAGCTCTGACCCTCTGGGGTCCTGTAACAATCTTCAGTTGGATCCTATCCCATCCCAGGAATGTCCACAGCAGATTTCTGCTCGGGCTGGATGTGTTCCAGTCCTGAGCAGCGCTCTGCCCTGTGGAGAGGCCTTCAATATTCCGCCTCTAGGTCAAACGTGGTGGAAATCCATCTGCAAGCTCAGAAGTTATCAGGAAGAAGCCAGCAGGCGCAGCCACTCAACAGTTCTCCTTTCCATAACAAATCAGGTTAAAATCTGAAGGAGCAGGCTTGACTGACCAGAGGGATCAATCCAGTACAGAAACAAACACCCCGGCATGCTTTGCAGAGAGCCTGGACACGGAGACAACGTTTGCATGAATGAGACCTGCCAGGTCCACTGGTGCCAGTGAACAAACTACTCATGGCAGTGCCCAATCAGACGTGCTGCCAGGAAAGTCAGGAATTTCCTTTCACCTGCTTTCTGCTTGACTTGGTTTACCAACACTATACATCCAAGAGAAAAAAAATTAATGTGCATTTTCTCTTCAGGGGCACTTGTGTGAAAAAGATGTGTCTGCCTGTCATCATCCCTGGGTGAGCCCGTGGCCACCAATCCCTGGGTCACAGCTCCCCGAAACCAAGAGAAACAGCCGGCGGGACAAAGCCAGGGCAGCCCTAAACATGCCACATCACCCCAGTGCTATGCAAAGGAAGCTTCAGGGGCATCTTCAAGGAAATGTGTGAATCTGAGTAAATTTTACAGATTAAAACTTTTACAAATTGTATAAAATTTTAATCATTCCAATTCAGCATTTAGAAAAACACTTGTTTAGTGGGAAATTTATAGCTATAAACGCCTATCCACAAACGAAGAAATGCTTAAAATCAATGACCCGAAGTTCCACCTTAAAATGCTAGAAAGAGAAGAGCAAACGTAACACAAAGTAAGTGTTAACAAAAACTAAAGAACAGAAATCAATGAAATAAAGAGCAGATGACAGAGAAATTTAGCAAAACCAAAGTTGGTTCTTTGAAGAGACTGGCAAACTCGATAAACTCCAACCTAGACTGATCAAGAAGAGCGAAAGCACAAGCTAGCAAGGCCAGGAATGGAGGAGGGTCATCATAACAGACCCTACAGGCATCAGGAGAATCAGCGGCAGATGGTCGTTGTCCTGCCAGGGCTCAGACTCAAGACAGCTTTTTGGACAGAAGCCTGTGTATCAATTGTGATAGTTACACGGGTATTTCCATTTGCTAAAAATGCATCATTTTGTTGGATGTACATTATACTTCAATGAACTTGATATCAACAGTAAAAAGATTTTCCTGCCTTCTTAAGCAGAGACAATTTTTCATGTTCCTCTGCCATAAATTCAGACATTCATTACACTTTTCTCTAATTCCACACGCTGTGAGGCCCTTGGGAGGTGAGCGCTGGTTGCTTCTGCCATAGTGAATGCCCATAGCAGGGAGCAGCTGGACCCATCCTCTCCCCAGGGTCAACCCACACTTTTCCTTGGTGCCAGCCCTCACCCTCCAAGCCTCTGGTATGTGGCTTCCACCAGCTGCAGCCTAGGAAGCCGTGACATCAACAGGGTTGGCTCTGGGGCTGCCCAGGCCTCTGAAGGAGAGATGGGTGTCCTTGTGCTGTCGGGATCAGGTGCTCTCTGAGAGGGCCTGGGAGTCACCTGTGCTTTCCCCAGGCAGTAGCCACACTTAGGAGGAACTGGAGGTTGTCAGATGAATGAGTGAGGTGCCCTTTGGGGCCCACTAGGCTCTGGGATTTCTCATGACCAGACACGTATTTTTGCCTTTGTTTAGGCAAATAGAGCCACACACATAATTATTTCAGTTGGGCCAAATCTGTAAAAGGAAAAAAGAAAGATTTTAAAACTCACTCAGAATGATGCATTTTGGGAACAGGAATTTTACAAAACCCAATCAAATATTTGTCAGATACCCACCATGTGAAGTCACTGTCCCAAGCCTTGTGGGGGACACAAAAATGAACAAAGCCATCCCCTGTGCTGAGGGTCTCACAACAGCCCTGCCAAGGCTGTGTGTCTCTCGTGCCGAGAGCTGGGCCTGAGCCTCGCGTCGGGGAGACCTGGAGATGGTCCTGGGGAAAGGCGGCATCACGCTGAGGCCTTTGGTGGACAGAGAAAAAAATCTCAAGATATTTACCCAGCTTTCCACTCAATGTCCCAAAGTACTAAGGCTTGCTTCAAGTTAGTTTTTTCTTCCTAAATCAGGCTCGTGTTGTTCGCAGTTTCTCCGCCCATGGAAAGCTCACCTCAGTAGACGCTCAGCTGTGCCAGGCAGCCCTCATGCTCCTGGGGTGGCTGGGGGCGTTGACTTTTGCCCACCGTGAAACCTGCACTCTGCGCACAGGGCTGGCTGTCCCGCGTGCCTGCTGCGGTCGGTTCCAAGCTGCGGGAGTGACGCCTGGAGTCTGGTTCTCGGGACCTGCCCGTGTCTTCATCGCACAGATTCACCTCAGGTGGAGGGAATGGAGGGACTGCTGTGAGACTGTGGGTTTCTCCAGAGGACTTTGACGTCCTCCTGGTCCCCCAGGGTAAGCACTTCTTTCAGACGCTGGTACAGCCAAATAGGGCAGTCAAGGTCACGGTGCTGAGTCACTGCGACCTGCCCCATCCCCTGCAAAGTGCTGTCTGAAGCGAACCCCAGCCTTCCCTCACTGACGTGGCCCCAGGCACTGTCCCCCAAGCTGTGCTGCCCTCCTGGAAGCTCAACCTGGAATTTCTAGAGGCTTTAGGAACCTGATTAGGTTGCTATATGGGAATGCAGATGCTAAATTTAGCCCTGCCCATCTCAATCCCGAATTCCAAAGCAATGATTGACAAGTTTTGCCAGTGGTTCATGACTCCAGAGCGTGTAGTCCAGGCATCCACAAATCCTCAGCCATGGGATGGAGGGCAGCAGTGACCAACGGCTGCATGGACAAAGTCGGGACATGGAGGGTGGTAGGGGGAGGGGAAGTTGCGGGAAGTCCTGCGGCACCCACAGGCCTCACCGATAGCTGGGGTGCCAGCTCTGCACGGCACTGGTCGCCATGGACTTCCAGTCCAGCCACCCTTGTGTGTGTTTCCTCAGACCTGAGCCTGCAAGGACAGGGCACACTCATCTCCTCCCCGCTGTAACCTGAGCTCCCCATCAGCTGAGGTCCAGGCCAGGACCAGCATGTCAGGCTGAGTAGCTAAGAAAGGAGAACCCAATTCCACACTCAGGGTCTGCAACCAGAACTAAGACAAGGGGAGTGTTTGCAGAGAGGTGCGTTGTTTACCTGCAGAGGGGCCACTCGTCCAGTCTCTGCAGCCACCTGTGATTTCTGGACCCTACTGGACAGTGTTTTTGCTATGGCTGCTGTGATACACAACTACATACCTCGTGGCTTAAAGCAACACACGTTTATTATCGTACAGTTCAGGAGGTCAGGAGTCCAAAATGGGTCTCACTGGGCTAAAATGAAGGTGTCGGCAGGGTTGGCTCTTTCTGGAGTCTCCAGGGGAGAACTGTTCCCATATTTTCCAGCTTCTAGAGGCAGCCGGCACTCCTTGGCTCATGGCTGCATCACTCCAACCTCTGTTTCTGTCTGGCCCTCCTGCCTCCCTGTTAAGAGGACCCTTGAGGTGCACGCAGGGCCCACCTGATCCGAGACCATCATCTTAATCATCTTAATCCTGAGACCATCAACTCAGGACCATCCGATCCGAGAGCCTCAACTTAATCACACTTGCAGAGTCCCTTTGCAGACCCCAGTCTGGTGGGGACAGCAGCAGTCCCCACCACCTGCCCGTGTGCCCCACCAGCTGCCCCATGGGCCTGCCATGCTCTGAGCTGTGTGTAGCGTTGAGGCAGGCAGAGCTTGGCAACCAGTGACAAAGACAATGGGGATAAGACCATGGACAGCAAGGAGCAAGGTACTGGGACCACACCCTGGTGCCTCTTCTCTTCCCTGGGCCAGGCCCTTGTCAGAGCCTTTCTGCTGCTCAGTGAGTGGGACAGGGAGGGAAGAAAGGCCTTCACCTGTCAACAGCAATCAGCCTCATGGGGCCTTGGAGGGCGAATTCCTCTGCAGTTTGCGAGTGTCTGAGAAGACTGAGTGCTGAATGAGTGGAGAGCAGGCCTGGACATCCCACACAGCCAGCGCCTCCACACACCTGGCCCGAGCCACTGTGAATTATTTTATCCTGCCGTTGTCCCCTTGGCATGGATAGAACCTTATTAATTGGCTCTCCATTGCTGCATATATATGCACATAGTTTACTACGGCACACGTATTCCCATTGCAATGCCTACTCCCAAATAAATACCAGTTTCTGTTAGAGCGCCTGTCTCTGTTGTTCAGGTTTACGTAAGTGGTGTCAGAGCAGAAGAAAGACGGTGATGGGAAGGAACTGGTGATTCTTAGAGCTGGCATGGAGTTGTCACTGGAGCCCTCTGAGCTCTCTGCGTCTGCCGCTTGCTTTTCTACCCTGGTGAGTCTTTGCTCAGGCCGAGTCTCGCTCTTTTTTGGTAGAGGCGGTTTGATTTCATAGGAGTTTGTTTTGGTGATAAGGCCACCTTTAATCAAGGACCTTCCATCCCTGCTGAGATGATAAAAGACTTTGTGTCTTTTCCAGCAAGTCCTTTCTGGTATAAAGTGTCTGATTCCTGCAGAATCTCCATTCTGTCTCTGAGGCGTGTCTTTTTTAGTGAATTTGCTTCTGATTCTTTCTGTGTACCTAATTTGATATTTTGCTTGATGTGGCCCTTTTCTCTTGCTTGTTTCTGGAAACCTTCTAAGAGCAAAAATAAGCATTCCAAATGCTGGACACAGGATGGCTCCCTAAAAGCCACTAGAGTGGTTGCCACTATCTAAAACACTGGTCCAGACTCCTGACATTCTCTTGAGAGGATTTAGAGGATTTTTTTGCTCTCAAGAGATTAATAAGGAACGGAACGGGATTCTCAAACATGAAGATGTGCCAGGTACTCTGGGACTCCAGCTGTCTGTATTGTGGCCCATTCTCATGCACATTTTTAAACTGAAGGGGCAAATGACACCAAGGAAAATTCAGAGCTCAGTGGTCATTATCCGAACTTTCTAAAAGAAGATTCTACAACTATAGAGTTAGCATTGTAAGTCCTCTATTTTTTTTTTCTGCTTATGTCCAATCTGCTGACCCTTCTGCTGGTATTGAGATAAAACTCACTGCTTATGATACTCCAGCCAAGGTTCTTTTAAAAAAGTCTTAAAGGGCTTTCAAATTACTGGCTTTACAAATTACAACAGCTCCATGGTAACCAACAACCGAGCCACTTTTTGAAAATGTAAATTTAGGTTTGCCTAACAGTTGCTTAGGGTGATGGAACAGTTAATTGAAGGACTGATAGTCTAAAAGGAAAGACCTAGATAAATGTTTATAAAAGTTAGGCTCCGAGATCAAACAGGTCAAAATCTGGAGCTCAGAGCAGTAATACAATTTTTTATATCTCTGGCATAAACATGGCTTTTTCTGTCATGCAGGAACCAAGGGAAAAAAGCCCCCAAAACCTGCTAAAATGTTTCCCACCTGCATTGACCAGTCAGGGGCAAGGAAACCAGACTGCAGACAAAAGACAGATGTTTTACTAATTCAAGGCTATTGGACATTTTCTTTTTCCTTTTATAATTCAGCCAGTTCAAGGTAAAACATAAACATTAAAAATTTAACACTAAACTCATTTGAAACAAACAAAAATGTTTTTTAAAACCAAACTGCTTAACCCAACACTTTGCTGCACAGCCTTCGTTAGACTATCCGCAGGGCAAAGAAAGTTTTCGCCATGTGAACAGTTCCCATTTTGTCAGAAAGATAATTTGGATCCAACTATCGTTTATGAACTAGTGAGTTCGTATATACGACTAAAATTCTACAATGAAAGCTATAAGAGCTTTGTGTATGTATATGCCTTTAGGTGTGTTTATGCATATGTGCATGTATTATGTTTTACGTTGTATCTACATGGTAAAATCTGGCAGAGCGGGCCAGAAATCCCTAAGAAATTCCATTGAGATTTGCTGAAATGAGTGCTCATATAAAGTATACAGCTATTAACCTAAGTGTCTTCTATTTCATGTGACCTAAGTAGATTTTGATAAATACGTTGGTTTTAAAATCATTGGTAAAATAAAACTGGAAGTATCTTCAAAATTGTGAGTATACATTTTTGCCTGGGTTTACTGGTGTGATAGTTTTATATTTGTCTGCCAGATGTTTTAAGGTGTTCAGGGTTTGACACAAAAGTTGTAAAACTATAAACTCAGCCTAAAACAGAGTGATCTTCATGCAATTCTTTGATAAATAAGACTAATTTAATATTGTGGTTTAATAAGAACAGCTGTGTCTTCAGAGTTATTGGCTAAATGCCCATATATTTAACTTTAAGGTTCTTACTTAGATGAATGCCTGATATTCACAGGCTATAAAAATGGTTAACAGGAAATAACTTGAAATGATGACAAGCTTTGTCTAGTATCTCAGTTTTCATAACTAATCTAGGCAAATTGTTAAAAATAAATTAGGTAAATGTAAATGGAATAAATGCTTATAAATAAGCCTTTCATGTAATTTGAAATCTTAACATTATGTTAACAGATACTCATTAAATGTCTAGATCATTTCTAAATAAGATTTAAAAACCTAAAACATCAATTGCTAAACATAAATATAAATTTGTTCTTGTCTTCTTACATTTTATAGAAAGACTAAATGTATTTGGGTCTATTAATATATATAAAACACTATGTTATATGGAGAAACATATTTATAAGAATTATAAAATGCCTCTCATCCATAAAATACCAATATGTGACAAACAGTTCAAAATTGCTTGCCAGAAATTAAAGTTACTAAGAATTAAAATTCTAATTTTTATATATATAATTCTGCATATAAAACATACAAAAAAGGAAAATGTGTTTTTGATTAGAAAAATAAGAAAGGCATAAAATGGGTTCTTTATTGAGAAAAAAGAATAATTCTGTCTAATTTACAAGTTATTTAAAGGTTGTTTCCAAATATAGATTTAGGAAGGAAACAGAGGCAATACAGCAAGGAACCAGTAAATAGGAGAGAGAGAGATACCAGGAATGTTGTGGGTATGAAGATGCATTCTTGGTAAGGAAGGCTATTAAAAAGAAAAGAGAATAATTTTATATAAGAAAAAATCTTGAGTAGAAATTGTTGTCTTAAAACAGCTGGTTATTTAAGAAAGTGTAAATAAGGGCACAAAGCAGAAATTCTAAGTATGTTGCCAAATGTCGCAATGAGTTGTGATGAGGTTTGTGAAGGATGAATTTATAAAAGGAATTAAGTTGGCTATAATTAGAAGGAAATTATTTATAAGTCTTTCTGAAGATTGAGCTTCAATATTAAAAATACACGAATACAAAACTAAAAACTTGGTACTCTATGTTAGAACAAGCTTTTCTTGGAATTTTGATCTCGTCTTAACAGCAGCTTTTCTCTTTTCTGTTTTACAGTCTCCATTGAGTTTCCCTAGTTTCAGATTAGATCTGCTTTTTTCATTCAGAACAGTAGTTTCATTTCTCAAGGCAGCATTTTCCTCTTGAAGCCTCTCAGGTTCATATCGCAGAGGCTCTTCTGCTGGATCTCGCTGCACGTGACTCGCCAGCCAGTCATCAGCACCCTCTGCTCTTCCTTTCCTCCCTGCGAGGAGGCCTGGGATGACAACTCTCTCCAACTTCATCAGCTCCTGTAACGTTTTTCTCCAGCTCTGATTCTGTGGTGAGGGCCTGAAGCAGAAATGTTTACCTTGGAGACCTAGAAAAGCAATGCTTTCCCCCAGTATAACTTGATTCTGTACTCTTCGCTTTCTTGATGAGTCTGAATTGTTCCGTGTAACCAGGAAATCTCACATGCTGTCACTAAGAGCTGTGCACTCTGACTTGCTGAAGGTACTGGTTTTCTTACAATATGGGACACACTCATAAGTTTGGACACACATTTTTTTTTTCTGTGTTTAATTAAATTCAAATACCTTTCATCAGATTCAATTTCCAAGATACTTAGATGGGCTTCCCAGAAGGAAGAGCAATCACAGTGCAGGAGGGTTTCTTTACCTTCTCGGTAACTGGCCTAAAAAGCCCAAAGAATTTACCTTTTACCAAGACAGTTTCCTGTGTTGTCTTCATTAGGTTTTTGATTACTTAAGAAAACAGCTTGAAAAGGGTTAAGGTTTTAAAATCCATGTACTTTTCTGTATTGCTTGTGAAGTCTTTTGATTATTACTTTGATTAAATGACTGTATTCCAGTTAAATGAAGTTATTTCACTGTGACCTGTCATTCTGTTTTGGTCAAGTGTTTTGAACCTTTTTATATCCTTGGCAGGCTTCCCCAGGATTGAAATTCTAAATTCAGTCTTTTTGGCCTATAATTAACTTTGAAATTTTCTAGTTGGGCCCCTGGAGAGCCTCACAGAATGTTCTCTCTCATCTTGTAGAGATATTAAATAATAAGGCTTATTTGATAAATTATACGGAAAGCATTGTGAAATGGTAAGTGACACTAGATCATTCAGTTACATTTATGTATGTTATGGATATGAATATTTCAAAAATTATATAAATTCATAGAACTCCAATATGTCATCAGCCCTAATTTGGATATTATGTCGTGTGCTATAAAAATAACTCTATTTCCTTGTTACTTGCTGATTATAATAAAATTCCATCAGAGTTTTAACCATGGCTATTCTAAGTTAATATTTTACATTCTCCCCTAAAAGCATCTGCAGTCAGACTCATGGAAAAGATTTCAACAGGTGCTCTTACATATACATTTCTTATAACTTTAAGATCAATGGAATAAGTACAATTTTTAAAAAACTCTAATGAAGAAACTGGTGGGCTCATGAAACTGCTCATCAAGGTCAAGCAGAACAAAGATTAATCACCGAGATTAAATAATTGATAATGTTTTTGTTATTTTTATTTAAAACATTATGAGTTCTTAACTGTTTTGCTTTCCAGGTGTAAGGACATTTTCTCTCTTAAACTGTCTATAATTTACAGCAATTTGGTAAAGAATACTTTTGTGATGGAAGCATTTTTTTTCTTCTTTCTTGATTTCTCCAAAATTTGAAAATCATTCATGAGCATTTTTATGGCAATAAAGTTATTGGCTAAGTTCAATAAAAATCGGCTTTCTCTTTACAACAGAATACCATTTAAAAATTGTTTCTTACTCAGACTTTGACTGGTGAATGTACACAGAATGCCTGGTTTCAAGGGTTCCCAGACGTACAGTGAGTAGATAAAAATGGTCACTTCCTGGCAGGCACAGGAACTTTAAGACTGTAAGTAAAATCTAAAGTCTGCTGTGGTTTGGCTTCCTAACCCCCAGAAGTTTTTAAATCTCAGATTCCTGTGCGACAAATGTAGGGATACAATGTTTCTGAAGAAAAGCTATAATACACCTCTTATTAGATTGCAGCTCTGTGCATTGTTTTCAAGCTCTGGTTATCTACCTATAGACTAGACTTGAATTATCCTAACTCCTCCAATCCAACTTTCTTGCATAGAGTTACTAAAATTGAATACTGCTCTCTTCCTGAAGCCCTTTAAGCTGAAACTATATAAATTTTAAGGAACAAGTCTCATGTCTGATGTTTGAGGAACACCCAACTTACCAAAACATCCACTGCCATAGCCAGAGATGTTCAAACTGCAAACCAGGCTGAGAACTGGATGGTTCCATGCTGTAGACAGCTTTTTCTGACGTTAGAACAGAACTCTGTATCATCATGAGACTTTTACCCCTCTTAATGCCCACCTATTTCGCTTGACGGGATCATGGCCGATTGATTTATCCAGTTGGCTGCCTTTAAGCCTAGGTTCGTGGCTCAAAACCATTATGCAGACTAGGATAGTCACATTACTAACAATTTTACTTTGAATTTCCCCTTTTAAAACTTGGTATTTGTTACTTGTTAAATTTTTGTAGACGTGCAACTCCTAACAGAATAATGCTTGCCCAGTGCTTTGAGATGATAACAAAAGACTATGGAAAAAGACAACATTGAACTTAATACTAGATTTTAGGTAGACTTAGCCTGACAGCCACTCCCTTCAAACCTCCCTTGTTGCTCAAATGTAGCTAAAGGGTTTTGACAATGATCCCTACCCACCCATCACGACCCCCAGTGTGGGACCAGACCAGCAACCCAGGGCAGGTCCATCTTGGCACCAGGGAGCATCAGACCTCACTGCAGCAGGATTGATCAGTGATACTTTGGAGAGAGACCTTGATCAAAGTGGAAAATGTAGAAGCTGTAAGAATCAAAATCAAAATGGAGTCACTTCTGTTAACAAATGCTCTGACGCGCTCGCTTCGGCAGCACATATACTAAAATTGGAACGATACAGAGAAGATTAGCGTGTCCCCTGCGCAAGGATGACACACAAATTTGTGAAGCGTTCCATATTAAAAAAAAAAAATGCTCTGACAAATAGAGCTGGGACAGACCCTAAAGGGACGGTGGTCATGCACCACTGCGCAAACACAATTGCAAAAGACTGAAAAAACCATCACTCTGCACAAACGCCGTTGCAACCTTACACAAAAAACACTTCTACATCTGTCCAGCAAGTGCCTGTCCGGCACTGAACTGGAATCTCCCTCGTTATTCATCTTTGTAGCCAAGGATACTTATCTCAAAACAATCCTGTGTTCCTCCCCACTTTTCCCTTAAAAACCTTTGTCTTTTTTGACTTCCCTGAATGTGCACATCATCTACTAGGGCACGTGTATTTTCATTGCAATGTCCTATTTCCCAAATCAATGTCATTTTCTCTTAGAGCCTCTCTCTGTGTATTTCTGCTGACAGCCTATTACCCCCACCCCTGTTGCACTCACTCTGGACATTTGGACAACAATGTGGATGGACATCATGGTTCTCTCCCCACTCCTGAAATGGATGCTGCAGGCAGGGGGCTAGTGTGGCAGGAAGCCCTGAGGGCCTGTTAAAGTTGCAGCTTCTCTTCCATGGAGGGTACAGGAAACACGTTTTGGGGCATTTACTGTGGCTTGTTTTAGATTAACTTGGAAAAGGGAGAAAACATCAAATATTTTCCATCAATGTTCTAAATGTTAATTATTTAACAGTCTCTTTGCTGCTCAGAACTGAGAACACTTTTATCTGATAGTTTTTCGTTTCTTTCCAGTATTTTCAGTAACAATGAAGCCAAACACTACGATGAATTTAGATGTGGAGTGAATGAAGTGTCTGGCCTTCATCAGATACTCAAGAAATTCGGACGGAGCAGATGTCCTTGCACGTAATTCACACCTTAAGCCCAAATATAATGCAATGAGTTTTTATTTTGTTTCAAAGCATCAATGTGTGTTCTTTTCCTGCGCGTTCCTTAACAAATGTTACGGCTCTAAATTTCTAGGCGACTGTTTGCTAATGAATTGTTTCTATACTACATCATCCTGAGGCCAAAAGGAGAGTTCAGGAAGATCTCTGTTCGTAGCTCTAAGGTAGCAGAGCCAGCCTGGAAGCAACTTGAAGATGAGAACTGTCTCATGCCTT